TTCTCCCTCTCTCACTCCCTTTCTTTGTGTCTCTATCCATCTTCCATTTCTTGAATTCGTTAATTGTGCTTAAATTTTGCAGTTGGTTTTGATCTTTTTTTTTTTTTTTTTTGGCGGGCATTGACCGCACCGCCTGCACCGCGGGCGCTTAGCTAGTTACCTATTATGGTAGGCAGTGTGTTTCTTTAGGCTGCCCCGGGCGCATGGCCGGGGTTATATTTATTTTTCAAGTCAGTTTTGAGCTTATGGCGGAGTGATCTGCCAATTCTTTTACACCAGCGCGTTCGACGACCCTGAGTTTGAACTAATATCTTTCACCTTACCGTCTGAACCTTTGACTAATTTGAGACACAGTCCTCGCATTCCGCGCGACCCCTTCTAGTTTCCTTCTACCCTTCCGACCCTCGCGGCAGAAGACTTCTAGTTTTTACTAACCTTTACCTATTGTCGTTCGCGTCGTATCACTGCGTATGGTCACCTAGAAATCTCGGCCTCAAGGGTCGAGAAAATTTATTCACGGTGCTATGCCAAAATTTTTTACTTTTTACTCCAGACTGTCTCCGGGATGGTAACCAGTGTCGATATTGTATCGAATGCAGAATCATGAGCGAATACCCTTGTAAGGGTGTTTGCCTCGACAGTTTTCTCGGACTCCATTAATCTACATCTCCGTCGTTGGGAATCTAGATGCAAACAAAGGCCTTCTGACTCGACAAGCTGTCCAAATCTGATTTTCTAGATGAAGTTTGGGTTTGAAGACTCTCACTGTCCCCCTTGGTTCGTCCATACTGCCAGAATTTTAACCTGGTTCTCCCACATGTTCAAAAATTGTTATATCAAAACAAGATTGATTTGTACTACAGTTCCGGAGGTCACCAAGGAAGATAATGATAGCCTTTCCCCCCATCTTTCGACTTTATTTGTCAGGATCTCATTGGGTGTCCGAGGAGTTAGGAATCAAAATTCAATCCTACCCTTTGGACGTGGATCTCAACCTGAGGTAAATTTTACCGTTGCACCCAAGTCTAATGTGAGGGGATCGACGACCTTGGCCTCAACCCACCACAACCGGTTGATCACGTCGAAACGTCTGCCCACCACGTTGTTAAATTAACGGTGGTACCCGTATTGGTTACGCAAAGTCTTCCTATCATTCTAAACCTGACTCTTGATCCCTCTGATATTTACCTGAACCAATCCCATCATCCCGGAGCATCTCCCCTCAGGTTTTAGTTCTAGACCGTAATCGGAAGGCCCGTTGACTGGTTATCCTTGGTCAGCAGCCCACGCTGGGAGTTACGTCCCAACGATGCCAATTTTTTACCATAGGCTTAGTATTTTTTAGTCCCTCAGACTGACTTCCTAAAGTGGATGAGCAATGATCATTTTAAAATATATATGAAAAACAATTTGACCGAAAATTTTCTCCCCTTGTCAGTTGTCATTTAGTGGGTGACCAAACCCCATTGAATGTATATATGAAAGAAAACAATTTCACCTATAAGAATGATTTAACATGATCGTCATATTTTGTCTCTGATCAAGGGGCACCGTCAGAGCCACTTAGGGGTCGTGTTTACCAGACCTTGATAAAAGGTTGGACAAACACACGTCTCAGGGATCTTTTGTCAAGAGAAAAACCAACACAAATATCCATAACAAAGGTATAAAAGTTTTTGTTTGACTCCTTGTATTGTAAGAAGGCAGAAAAAACATTCATTTCATTCATAACATACATTTCCTTGTCTCGCAGGGTTTTTAAAATGCATCAAAATTTTTTAATAGACTTTCTCTGGCTCCCCGGTGTCTTGTTCATCTTGATCTTCATCGGTTCCCGCAACCTCTTCCATCACCGCATCTCAGATAAGTTTCTTTTCTGCCCCGACCCGCCGAGTGGTGATGTTCACCCTGTCTTGTCCATTACCTTCTAGGATGAAATTGACTTGTGTTCCACGCCCCCTCGACTGATCCCAAACAATGTCAGCTACCGGCTCGGCTTCTACGGCGGCTATATCCAGGTTGTTCATGACAATGACGGCACGCCGCATTCCACCTGGCGAATTCCAGTTTATTCGCTCCCCCTGGGGTCTGAAGATTTCACCTTTAGGGGATCTGCTACACCTCTGTCTCAATATATCGTGATTGAGTCTTGGGCAGGTCCGCACAAAGTGACCGATCATCGTGCAATATCGACATTGCTCATTAGCCGGATCCTTCCTGCCGTATCCCCGATTTCCCACTGCTGCTGGGACTATGGCTGCTTGGGGCGGTAGGGCGGGTCGGGACACCTGCGCCTGCATTACCAGTAGCGCGTTTTCCACTCTCTCCATCTTATTATCAACCCCATGCACTCGCTCATGCAAGCTTTCTATCCCCTTCTTCAACTTGTCCCCCGTTTTCCCGGTCAAGTCTATAACTTCCCCCTCCTTAAGCAAAGCTAACGTCTCGGTTACCACCGTCTTCTCCGCGAGATCTGTTACCGTACTGAAGTCTACATCCCTCGTGTATTCAAAGTTGTTGGTCTGTTGATAGGCCGACAAAATCTTATTCTTGTCGAACTCGGAGAACTGTCTAAGGAAATACTTGCTCATGATCCGGTCCGTTACCCCGGGAATTCGTAAAGCTACTAGGGTAAACGCTCTCAAGAAGTCGTTGTAAGTCGTATAGTTCTTCCTTTGTACGGCTGCCAGTTCAGCTTCTGTTGCCATTTTCTCCGCCTTTAGATACTTCCTCATCATTTTATTTTGGGTCTCTTTCCAGGATCCACTGGCGGCGACGATGGCCATAATGTCCCTTCCTAAGCTCAGTGACACATGCTGCCTTAAGTGATGCATCTTTTCTTTCTCGCTCCATTTCAACAGGGCTGCTAGATTCTCGTAGGTCTATAAGGAATTTGGTGATGTTCGCCCCATCAAAGGTGAGCTTCTTCTTGGCATCCGCGAGGTAGCCCTGATTTTTGTTCAATGCCCGAGTGAAGGTGGATACTATTTTCTTGAGCCCGCCCTCGGAACTTCCTGTTTCGTCAGCCGTACTAGTCCCCTCTCCTCCCTTGCTATCTTTTCGTTTTCCCTTGCTGTTGCTGCTCCCTCTGGATCAAACCACCCTAATACCCTTTCTCTAAGACCCCAAAGTCAATCGTATCCCTTCATTATTTTTGGCGCGGCAGGCAAGCGGCTAGCACCACTATCTATGGCAGGCGGGGTTGTAGTTTTTTCGGCTTCTACAACCGGGGAGTCCCCCTTTTCCTTCCCTTTCTTGCTAGGCGTCCCCCTATGGCTACTATCCTTCCCTCCGTGCTTGATTTCGCCCTGGCCAGTCCTGCGCTTCTCTCGTCGCTCCTCTCCCAGAAGTCCCTTTCGTTCCCAGCCATCATTTCCTCAATAAGTCTTGCCTTATACTCCGCGGTTCGCTTTTCTATTTCTGCTAGCTTACGTCGTGCATCTGAGACTTTTGCTTTCTTGGATATGATCCCATCTGAGTTTCGTGGACTCGACCTTTCCTTGTCACTTCCTTCCTTATTCTCCTGAGATCCTCGTTTACTTCCCCCGGCCTTTCATGAACTTTCGCCCTTCGAGAGATCCTTCCCGTCTTCCTTGGTTCCCTTCAGATTTGCTGATTCTCGGTCTCTTATTGACCCTTCGTTTCTTTCCACGCCCCTCTTTGTGCCCTGACTCCCCTTGCTCCGCAGATTCCCAGCCTCTTCTTCTGACGCCATCTTTTCCTAGCCCTGCACATGGGAATTTTTTTTTTGCAAAACGGTCGGTCGTTCATAGCTTCCCTGGTTCCCAGGTCCTAAGGTCCTTATTTTTGTTGTTTCCATATTTTTCCGTCTCATATCAGCCGCGGCGGCTTATCTGCCGTTTTCGTATTCAGCAGGGCGCAACTTTCCTCTCCTCTGTTGGAAGGCTCGCTGCCGAGATTCAGCGTTTTATCATTGTCCTGCCTCGGTTTTAAGGCAGTATCACGGGTCGGCGACTCTCTACTCGAAGATGGCTCGTTTTGCCTTCCCGACTCCCGGATAGTAGCGGATACCGTCAGCGTCCTTAGCAGTGGTGGCCTTCCCGGTCCCTTTCTGTCGTGTTCTCGGGTAGAATAGGACTCCGACCACTACCTTCCGTTAGATGCTCAATCCCTCGTTTTAATTTTCAGCTCTTACTTTCGCTGTCTTTTTCCCGGTACTTTCTCACGCCGGTCCCTCATGCCTGTCCTGTTCGTCAGGCTCTTCGAACAGGTTAGCCACCCCCGGAAGGTAGTTTTCTCCCATCTCTATCTCTTTGATAACTATTGGCTCATACTCCTCAAACGCCAGGCGTGGTAACCCGAATATCAGGATTTCGATGAGTTCGAGTAGTTCATGGGCCCGATTTTCCCAAAATGCCCCGTGCCTAACTGACATATCGTAAAACATTCCCGTCGTCTGTGGCTAGAAGTGGTGAATCCAGACTAAGGTCGAGTCCACCAAGTCTCTTGCCCTCGAGGGGCTGCTGAATACTAGGTCCACCATAAAACGGGGCACTCGGCACCGCAATCCTCTCATCGGGGCCCTAAACTCTCGCCATCCTCCTACCTCCACCCGAGTACTCAGTCCTACGTTCCTTCTCCCCCGAATCTCCTGGCCTATCCGGTTCACTATCCTGGCAACCCTTCGGAATATTGGCAGCAACCCATGTCCTAGTGCCATCTCGGTTCCTAGCATGTGTCACCCAATCTCCGACAGGTATACGGTCCCTGTCACCTTCAGTTCAGCATATAGGTGGTCCCCTGGTCCCCTATTGAACCTCATACCGCTCCACAAACACTCTACCATCATAAACGTTTGGTCCCTCCCCAAGGTCACGGCTCTCCATTCGGTGTCAATCCCTCGGAATATATAGCTCGTCGGGAGTAATACCTCCAATCCGCCTCCACTCTTCGTGGGCGGTCGAGGGTGCGTGGGTCGTCGCGACATCCGGACGCGCCTCATTGCCATTGCTGGTTAGCGATTCCGTGCAAAGTTTAAACAACAAGCGAGCTTTGCTTATTCTCATCCATTTCTTCGACCACCACCTGGGCGATTCCCTGACCCTTAACTCACCTTCCTTTTCTTCCTAATTCCTGCTTTTTTTCCTTGCTCCTTTTATTGACCCGCCTCCCTGTCTGACAGCTCGTATAAGCGGTACAGGTCGTCTACGCAACCCAACCCCCGGTTTATTTCCCTTCGGACGACGCCCCATAGGACTTCCTCGTGAACAACCGAAACTCTAGGCCTGATGGTAAATATGGCGCGCAAGATTCGCTGTACCTCATAACCGGTCCCATTTCTAGGAAGGCCCGGTAATATTCCTGGTGGACCATTGCTTCCTTAAACGTCAGGTAGGCGAGGTCGGCCACTGCCCGCCTGACAAGCTCCAGCCCGCCTAGCTGTTCTAGTAGGAAGGGCGGCAACCTCATCCGAACGTTCTCACTAGGCAGGTTGAATCTCCCAGTCATGGTTACCCTAAGGTTCGCCGTTACATCATCGAACTCCGGGTCAGCGAAGTCGAACCCCGCCGGCCACACTAGCTGCCGTGCTCCTTCATTACCGGATCTTTCCCCGACGCTAGTAGGAATCCAAATGCGCGTCATCCATCCTCCGACACATACAACCACCTTTCCGCGCGCACATGCCTCCGTGGGTCCAGGCTCCACTCACCATTTTCATCCGCTCTCCACTCAACCCTGGTCACCAAGTAAACAGTATTTTCCATCAGCTCAATCCCGATCCAATCCGTCTCTGGCTGTCGGATCTCATTTAGAGCAGGTAGGCTGATTTCCACACCGCCAGCCACTTCCCTCGGTGGCTCGATTAGAACGTCCTCCGTCGTGCCATCGCGCGCCCTTTCCCTGCCTTCGATCTTTATCCCACAGTCCGCAGCAATCCCCGCAATGGCCAGACATCCTGCCCATTGCCTTTGTATTCCTACACTCGACTGGCCCTGCATGGTGCTCATGTCCTTTCATCCACGTCCCCCATCATTTTTTATTTTCTTTCCTTCCCCTTTTTCTTTTACCCTCTTCTCCCCCTATCTTACCCTGCTAGCTCGTTTTTTTCACGCTCGTAGTCGAACCACAGTACTTCAAATAATTTAAACACATCATCCACATAGCAAGGTGTCGCTGCTACCTCTCGGTGGATTATGGCGTCCCTGATTTCTGGGGCTACTTCTAGCCGATCGTTCCTATCTATCTCCAAAATGATGAGGACCTCCCAAACTCTATCGTCGTGGAAGGACCCAAATTTCAACGATGTTTTGTAAAATTCTTCCGTCAGCCATGCGCAATTTACGTGCACCCGTCCCATAGTGTTGGCCACTTCCACGACGTGATCAAAACCCCCAAACCAGTCTGCCACGAACTCGGGTGCCCAAGTCTTGGTTTGCAGACAGGGAGGTAAACTCCTTCCATCCCCCCATCACGACCTCACTGCGGACCACGTCCCATCCTTTGTTAGCAAACCTCTCGCCTGCCTTTCGAGTCCTTGCCTCAGCATCCCCCAGAAGCCACATCGGACTCTGGCCTGCCGCGAGCATTGTGCAAAACAAGTGTTATCCCTGCTCGGAGAGGACAACCGTCTCAACCGATTCTACCCTACCTTCGGCAATCTCTTCTCATCCTTCCTCTTCTCTTAGCGAGTTCCAGATACGTTCTACCCACATGTACGACAACCCCGACACAATCTCAAATCCAACCCAGTCACACGTGGTTCCTCTCCATTCATTATTTGTCGGTATAGACATCTCTACCTCCCCTTTAACTCGTCTCGACTCCCATCCTTTGAACGTGCAATCCCGTAGCTGGAGTTCTCTAGCCATCGCTCCCTTCCTGCATATAGCTGACCACCCATTTTTCCGGGTAAGCCCCTCTCTCAGAAGTTTCAGTCCTCTATCTCGTCATCGTCCCCCGCATCACTGAAATCATCCTCTTCGTCGAAGAACGAGTCCTTCAGTCCTTCTAGGAAGGTCTCCCCTACTGCCACATTCCGATAAATTATCCGCCAATGCACTGGGCTAGGGACAAAGACATCATCCGCACAAAAGAGGTTCAATATATTTGCTAATTCCTCCGCCCAGTTTCCTCCGAACGGCCCCATTTCTATCGACAGTCTGAAGAAGTCCTGTCGGGCGCACTGGTACAACCTCACGTTTGTCATTGACCGACATATTTGTTCAAATCTGTTTCTGGTTCCAAAGACCGCATCCACCAGAAATGGGGGTAGCACGCATCTTATCGCTCTAAGAGGCCACCTCACATTTCTCCTATCCCCGACCTCCTCTCGCACCTCTAGCTTGTCCATTTCCATTTCCGCCCGCTGACATGCCGCTCATACCACCTCTCGCTCCGCCTGTCTAAACAACAAATTTTGCGCCGTCATCAGTACTAATTCTATTACCATTGCATTTTTCCTTTCCTAGGATAGGTAGACCCACCCTCGAGCTTCCACCGTCCCTCGGAATTCCAAGTCCATCAAGCTCGGCGACAGTCTCGTCAGGCTGACCTTAGTCAAAATCGTCTCTATCCAGAGGAATGCGTCCTTCTCGTCCAGCATCACAGTTTGATAGGTTGGCTCCAGGTCTGTCCACGTTCCTTCCTCCGGGAGGACGACGGATACCCCACCCCTTACGTCTATTGGCATTTCCGGACCACTAGAATAGACTAGAGACGACAACCACCGCGCCATTTCGTTTTTCCGGTCCCAGTCCCTACTTTTCAGAAGAGAGCACCACACGGCCCCTCTGGTCAGGCTAACTCCCTTTTTCTAGATGAGAATTATTTCAGACCCCTCATCCGGGTCTCCTAATTTATTTCCTGCCCATTTCCCGAGCACCATTGCCCCATTGTACCCTCAATTGGTCATCCCCAGTTGGCGTTCCTTTTCTTGGTTCCATTTCCTTCTGACTCCTATCCTTGCATTTTTTCATTTTCTTTCACTCGTGCGGACTTAGATAGAGGCGATAACAGACGCAAAAAGTTCGGTCCCTCCCCAACAGTCTTCAGACAAACTTCACAAAGGGAGGCACAAAAGAAAAAAATCAGGCAATCCTCGCACACAGGCCGGTCATCTCCTCACCGGCTTTTTTCCCAAAATGGTCTCTTCACTGTTACTATCGGCAGAGTTTTATCCCGTACCTCAAGCACAGCTCAACCGTCGCGAGCGCGGTACCCAGACTCCAGTGGGGGGGCACCCTCACCTTCTTGCCCAGAATACCCCATCCCGTCTTGCCGCTCTTGTACAACCCCGTTGGCTCCGGGAATAACCCCGCGTACTCGGTGGGGACAAAAATCAGCCGTCCAGGCATTCACATCCATCAGTCCGATAAGAATCAACCTTTACCATGTTGTATCGCAAGAGGCTACTAATCGCCTCCGGAGCTCCTTCCGGGCCCCACATGCAACGGTCCCCCTGCCGTCTGCCAACGAGCAGCCGCCCCACCTGAGGAGACGTTTCGCACCCCGCCTAGGTAAGGTCGCGAGCGATACTCGACCCGCCCAGAAGGGAATGCTTCTAATCAACCGACGGGACCAACTCCTGCCTGACAGTCAAGTGGCCCGACCTCCGCACATGAAAACCCGGCGGTCTCCCGAAGAAAACGACGTTTCGCAACCAGCACCAGCTGGTGCAGACGCACCCTTTCCTTCCGAAATGGCAGGACGCTCAATTCTCCTTTCATGCAATCACAAGTCCCAAGTGGGCCACATATAGAACAAGTGTCTTTCCCTTGATGCTCTCAACGCTTCCTACCCATGCCTCATGTTTTTCTCTCGGGACCGTGTGTGCCACTCACTCCTAGCTTCCATACATCGTGCCCGGTTCCTTTTCGTGAGCATCTTCAAGGATAAACTAGTTTTCTTGGAGTCTAGCAACTCCCTTCATTCCCCTCATCTTCGCTTGGGTGTGCGTTCATAGGGCGGGATTGTTCCTTCCCGATTACCATTTTGTTCATATGAGGTTCCTTCCAGCATTTCAAGTGAAAGTGCAAGGAGCCCGCTGGGCTCCAAAGAAGAGGGAAGAAGGCACCCATGTCAGTCGGATCACTCTGCCGCGGGATTTTCATTGGCACCCGACCTAGGTCGAGCACCAACCGCCTGCCAGGTAACAGGAGCCCTTCTTTCGCACGAAGAGGAAGGGTCGACTTGCGGCTTGCCCAAGGCTTCCCCGGACTGACGAACATCAGCCCGAAAGAAGGAGGACTAGAGTCACCCCCCCAAGGAGGTGGCTAACCAAGTGTGCAACACGCATGTTATTCCTCCAGGCCTGACCTTGCTATGCACCCAACCAACCTAAAATTTGATTCTCTCAAGGGGATAGAGCATACACAAGTCCTCGTTCCTTATCTTGAGTTATGTTCACGCACACGCGTCGGGCGCCCCCCTCGAGATCGTACGGGTCAGTTTAACCCATATCGGGCACCTCCACCATTTTTTGTAGGGCCTTACCCTGTTAGACTTTCGAGCCTGAGTCGACCCCTTTGCGGGTCCCATTTGGCTCGACCCACCCACGCTCATGCTAAGGGCGCGGGTCGTTCGTCTCAGGGGCACCCCCACCTAGTGCTATGAGATGGATGGGGATGGGCCATTTACGAGAGGGCTTTACATTGGGGGATGTAGCTCCGCTCTCGCGTTAGATGGTAGTTTTAAGGTCACTCGTGGCATTTTCTCGATTCATTTAAGTGTGACCAGGCAATTGCTCCTTCCAATACACATGCAGTTCAGGGGGTTCCTTGAAAGATTTTCTTCTTTCTTGCGTAGGCTAAGCGTCATCCTTGGACCACCCACCTTTTCACTAAGCACCAAGGTCCCCATGGCATCATCGGGGTGAGGCAACTCCGTCCATCCCCTAGCCCCAATTTTTCTCCCGTTTTTTTTTTTTTTTTGCCTAGCACATGCATCCTGTCCATATATCTGTCGCCCGCCTTTAGTCTTTTCGGGCTTCCATGTCGCATGCAAGAGGTTCAAAGCACAAATTCATCATGCCAGGCCACACCACTCTTTCTTTGACCCTTTGTCCGAGCAACCTACGCCAAGACCCGCCCGCGTTTGGAGTCCACGCTAGGTCTATGACCTTCCCAAGCAATCCTTTCTCTCCTTTGCCTGTGTTTTCCCAAACCCAGTCCCGCTTAAGCCATCCCAAGTTACTCACCTGCACAGTCCCACACATAGCAAAGACCAATACAGTCCCCCAATGGGGTCAACACATCGCCCTTCCCGCAATCCCAAGTTTTTTTTCCCTTCCGGGGTTCTTTCAACCTTTCCTTCCTTCCCACAATCAGGTCATGCATCCTCCTTAGTCATGCAGTCGGGGAGATGGTTGAGTCAACTGACCTCGTGCTAAACTCTCTTCCTTCTCGCTCTTCCTTGAAGATCTTGCCTATCCGGCCCCTCAAGGTTTTCCTTTTCTTTTCCTTCTTGGTGGCGCAAGGGACCGACTGCCCCCCCCTTGCCCTCTTTCTCCACCAAGTGAGGACTGCTTCTTTCACCGTTCGTTCCCTGGCAATGTAACAAGGTAAGGTGCAGTTAGTCATGAGCTGAGCAGGGAGAGGGGAGGGAGGAGGAGGTAAGGGTTTTGGGTGAGGGAACGAGAGAGAGAGAGAGAGAGAGAGAGAGAGAGAGAGAGAGAGAGAGAGAGAGAGAGAGAGAGAG